GAAGGATGATTCAGAGTGGCATTACTGTCAAAAGAATAAAATGTAGAGTTTTAATATTCGATCAGCCAGAAGTAGGAATGATATACTGTATACAAACACTTTTACTTTATATCAATTTAATGCATCAAATCTGAAAACTCTCTCTATTTTCAGTCTTATTGAATGTTTTATAAAAATCTGATTCATCTGATTTGAATAAAAATATGTTGCTGATTGATTCGACGGTAGAATTAATTCTGTAAATTTCATTCTGTTGGACTTAAAACCACTCTATGTCTCTCAAACAATATGCAACATGTCTTTTCATTTAACATTAAAATTTGCCGAATTTTAAAAAAGAAACATTTACACAATACAGTTTTGGTATTACAGTATATCTCTGCATCCTGCAGAGTATGTTGGCATTAAAAAAAAAAAAAAAACACCTCTAGCTGGAAGCGTCCTGTCATGTTTGAAATACTGGTGCTCATAGGGATGTGCTCCCATTCTGAATAGCGCATGTGTATTGGGATAAATAGTGGATTTTGCAGATCAGGATGCAAATTCCACTCTCCACATTTTACCATCAACTGGCCATCTCAGAAAGAGAGGTTAAAGTTCCACACACACACACACACACACACACACACACACACACACACACACACACACACACACACAAATAGATTATTATAAGCTGAATTAGTGAGAGAGAAACAAGCTGTTCTAAATTGGAAGCTCCATGTGTTTTCAGTATAGAGAGGTGAGTGAATCTTTATCAGTGTAGACAGAGCCCCCGCATAGCACAGCATGAGGTTAGGTTATGTTACAATTGGTCGATGCTGCAGTTTTTTTGTAGATTCAGTTGTGTCAATTCTGCAACGATGAACTATGCCCCCTACAGCAGCAGATATGTATGGCAGTTCATCTTCCTTCATAGCCTAAACACAAGACAGATACGTCTGTCAAAACACAAATCAGAACATCTCCACTTTTTAGGCTCCCTTACAAATTCGTAGACTTCCACTAGTCTTTGTTTTGTGTTAATTAAATATATTCTTTACACTAAAATTTCCTCAAATTTCTCCATGTATTTCAGTTTGTAATTTAGGTTACAAACTGATTTCAAAGTACTATACATTTATTAACCGTTTAATACAAGATAACATTTTCTTTAACTACTCATTGAAATAAATGTTTTATTTGTCTTTATAATTGTTTGTAATTATCATTGTTTATGACTGCGTTTTGGACAATGGAAGTTTTAACTGTCCAAACTCGATAAAAGAAACTTTTATCCGCATCTCACACAGTTTTTGAGAGTTCTTAAAATAAATTCTTTTAGAATACATATTTGTTTTAGCTAAAGAAAAACATCTTGCATAATGGTGAAACAGGTGCAAACAGAAACTAATGAATCAATGTTTCTGTTCACACCGTGACCCTTTGAGCTCCAACGGCCTCTTTGTAAATGTATGTGTGTTCCTTTAGGCCGGTTCATGCTTGACCACACAGTGAAAATGTGTACCTCCTGATATGAGGACCCCTCGGTCAAACGCATGAATCACATGTTTTTGTCTTCGGCACAAATAAAAACTGTCAGAGGACATCAGAAATCCACAATAAGAGTTGTTATCTCCACCTCCTCCTCTCTCGCACTCGCTTTGTGGAATTCCAGCTATAAACGCGTCTCCGGAAAGGAGGGAGGGGACGGGTTGGGAGATTGTGCAAATGAACAAACAAAACAAGAGGAGGGTTAGTTGCACAACCCCTCATACACTAATAACTGTCTCAATCTCTGTCCAAATGATCAGACTGCCATAGATTTAATTTCAATGCCATGCAGCTCTTGTATTTTTTTTTTTCCTGTTTTCCTTCTGTCTGGAAAATTCCATCTCTTTCCCCAAAGTCATCTCCAGTATCAGATCCTAATATTACACTCAGGAGGGCTTGGTGATGAATAAAGTATGACTTCCTTTCACTGTCCATCTTCTCTCCAGAAAAAAAAAAAAACATGTCATCACAGATTTCACTTTCAATTATACTGAAGAAGCTTTGAACAAAATCTTCCTTAAAACATCCAATTCAACTCAAATGCTTTTCAAATAATTTTTCTTATAGTAAACTTAGAATCTAAAACACAAATTTAAGCAACCAGGGGAAAAAAAAAAAAAAAGTCCTGACTTCTTCCCAGAGTTTAAGATCAGTATTAAATTTCACGGCCTGAGACGTTGCAGAGACGCTTTTCCACATGCAGTTGCAAACTCCGTAGGTGGAAACAATAAAATAGCAGCCTGCCTGCACAGTCCCCAAAACTTTCAAACTGGTGGCAGTAAATCAAAGTTTGTATCACAGCAGGCGCACAAAGCATCACAAAGGCCAGGGACTGGTGTCCCCATTTCAAATGCTCCCAACATTTGGTTCTAATTCGGAAACTTTTCCACCCTCTCTACATTGTTGAAGCGTAATACTCTGGATATTTAAACATCCATTTGTTCATTATTAACACACGAGGTGGTTCTCGTTATTCCTGCAAAACCCTAACCGTGTGGAGACAAAAAAATAAATAAATAATAAAGAAGGTGATCTTAATGTACGAGTAATTTCAGTAGCTGCTTTACGAACGGTCGAAGTAACTGATGAGGATTAAAAACCGCAGTTTAACCTTAATTAGGCTTTAAAACCTGTGCACAATAGGGAAAAAAAGACCAAATAAGTGAAATCTACTAAAGACAAATGGCGTCTGATTGTGTTGAGCGCAAACAAATGCAGTAATTAAGCTCGAAAGTGCTCCAGCTCCTCACATTAACACTTTATGATGTAAATGAACAGGATAAAGTTGGTTTAAGGGGTTTTATTCTACAAAGTCTCCTCATTTTGTTCACTAAATCCCCCTTTTTACACTGTTTAGAACCAACTGACAAACTAACGGTAGAAAAGGATGAAAGAGTGCACCAACTTTTCTTTTATTTTCCCCTCCTTCCCCCCCAAAACATAGGCGTTGCCGGGCCCATTTTTTTGTGTTTTTTTACCGGGGTGTTCCAGTACGCATCTGCCCCCAGTAAAATTATCTGATCAAATTTCAACAATTACAGCCCAAAGATTCACTTAAAATAATTACAGGAAGCTCCAGGAAGAGAAAGAAAGGAATAAGTAAAGATTAAAGATTCATGCACGGTGCTGTTTTGTACCGATAAGTGCAGCCGGCCATGCTCCAACACAAATGCACTATAAAAAGTTCAGAACAAGAAACGCTGCACACGCACAAGTTAGCCAAAATGTGACTTAGATTCTAATTGCAATGGCAACGCAGGTTTTATACACGAATCTTGTTTCATCTGAAAAACAACTGGATTTTTTTTTTTTTTTTTTTTTTACTGATAAACAGGCATCTGGCTACAGTTGCTGCTTATGCAATAGAAAACCAAATTGCAATAGTTTCTTGATGACTTTCCACCAGATCAGCCTGAAGCTTTCCTGGAGCATTTGCCTCACACTACAAAACAAACCGTTGGCTCAGTGAGCATGAACTGCATGACACCCATGTCATTAGCTTATATTTGCTGCAGTCAAAGCAATTCACATTTTTCACTCCAACGGTGGAAGCTCAGTTCATATCACACATTTCTCCTGACAGGGTCTTGTGGAGCACAAACAAAACTTAGGGGTGAGTAGGTTCTGGATTTGTTTTTTTCTTGTTTGTTTGTTGTTGTTTTTTTACCCCTCATGAAGCACGGCAATTCAAATCTCAGGTAATATTAGAGATTTAAAATGTAGACACTTATCGAAGAGTTGATGATAGTAGTAGCTCTTTAAAACAAGGTAAAGCCATGTGGTAGCTATCTTAAAATCATAATTCAGAAATGAAGTCTACATGAGCTTAAAAGGATCATGACTTATTATTAAAGTACTGTAATTGTGTTAATTACAGGGTATTTCACTGTTTCTATAGAATATTTCACAATAGCAAAAAAATAAATAAGAAAATCACTGCATGTTTTAAATGTAAATTAGTCTCTATGAACGTCATGATTTCTGTTTGTGAAGAAAACATTTTTTTTTCTCAAAAGCTCTACCTATGTCAAAGGGTAATCACTTTTTGTTCCAGATCATTATATAAATTAAGAGATAAATTTACTGTCAGCAGCTTGTTTATTACAATCAAGGATCCTGACGGATGTTAGAATGATGAATAATTCATACAAGTTTCAATCAGCCCTGATCTGCCTGATATTCACTTTATGAAATTTCCAAAAGAACAAAAGCGGTCGGTAGGATTTGTAAGTATAGATCCAATCCAATTGGAAAAAAAAAAAAAAAAAAAAAAAAAAAACCCAACAACGCAAAGTTGGAGTTAATATGACGCTTCGTATCGCAGAATCAGGGTCCGAGTTTGCAACACCAAAACTTTAGTCAGCATAAACTCGCGTTTATTCAGCCTCCCGGTGTTTGCGTGCGAAAGTGCAGCGAACTGGGCCGCGACACCTTCGACTATTAAAAAAAAGTTGACACAGAAGCGCCTTGAGGGTGGAGGTGCAGTGTTGCGCCGCGTCCAACAGAGATCACTGCGCATCGCAGAACTGGCGTCTGAGACGGCTGCAGCAGCTTCATATAAGCGTCAAAATATGTTTAAAAAACATAACTAAGCTACATGCTTACGAGAACCGGAAAAATTAAGCGTCGATTCACTAATGAGGCTAAAAATGCTTAAAGCGGAACAGAGGTCACATTTGACGCAAGTCTGCTCATTTTATTATGCCGAGATCGGAATTAAATTCCAGTTTCATTCGCTCAATTTTCCGTCTTATTTATTATAAAGATTACAATTGCGCCTTCTTAAGCCAAACTTGATTGATGTAAATATGCAGCTGTGCGTCAAAAAGTAACAGAAACAAGCTCCCCCCACTGAAAGTCTTCCATCTCTTAAATTTTCCATAGTGTTATAAGCGCACAAAAGCTATTTAAGATTTTATCTCTTAATTAATAACGAATTTTGAAATTATCATCATCATTATTATTACCTGTACCACTCCAGTCCGTTCTCGTAGTTGCGGTCGAAGAAGTGCGGCTCCGCTCCCACGGCCCTGATGTCCGGGTGCACCCGCAGGAACTCCAGCAGAGCTCGGGTCCCTCCTTTCTTCACCCCGATGATGATCGCCTGCGGCAGCTTCTTGCTCCCGGAGCCGTTGGAGAAGCTGGACATGGCGCTCGGATCCGGAACTCTGTCTCTGTCCGCGTCCAGCAGGTCTCTGGACGCCGCGGTCCTGATGGACGGCTCCTCGTAGTCGCTCTCCACGTCCTCCCAGGGCTGGGGCTTGGCCAGCAGTCTTGACACCAGGTCCGACCGCCTGCCCGTCGCCGGAGCGGTCTCCTTGCCCCGCGGGGTGTCCACCATCACCAAGCCGGGCATGGTGGAGCAGTAGCCCACGCAGGAGTAGAGCATGTAAACCCAGACCACGAACATGATGCTGAGCAGGAGAAGTTTCTTCTTCACGGGGCTGGACCAGAAGGCATGCAGGTTGTGGAAAACCGGGCTACAATATTCCATAAGCCTTCCTGGAGCAAATCAGATCCCAGCGGCGCATAGTGCCCAAACTCACTCCCTCTGGCACCTCTGCAATCCTCGCAAAATTAAACACATGCTCCCCCCTTCCCCAAAAAAAAAAAAAAAAAAAAAAAAAAAAACCTAATTAAAATGATAATTTAAAAAAAAAAAAAAGCTTACAAAGAAAAACACATAACTAAAGTGAAGGGGATCGAAGAGATGGAGACATCCGGGAAGGAGATCATAGTTACAGCTAAAACTGTAGAGTTGCGCCCGTCGCTCCTCGGTGCTGGTGCTGCTGCAGCTTCATCTCATCAGCTTTGTGACAGCAGCTGCCGGAGCCGCTCACCTTATAAGGAGCCGCAAACCGGAGTGACGGCGGTTTCAGCCAATCAGCAGCGAGGAGCTTAAATATGCAGCCGCTTGTTTACAGAAGAGGACCAATCGGATGGATGGAGGGGGGCCGTTTCTGAGCCGTGGGATCCTAGGTATGGTAATTAGGCGCGTGTGCGTGCGTGTGTGTTGGGCTACTGCTGAGAGGGAGTTTGGAAAACTTTTCTTATTTGGCAATTAAACTGAGGTTTTTCACGCGTTTCCCCGCAGGCACGCAGTTCAGATGAGTTCAGACGACCTGAAACCTAACAGTTTATTTTGACTTGTCTACACATGTTGTTTGACTTTGCTTTGCTAACAACAAAATAACCCGATTTTTTTTTTAAGCAACAAAAGCAGGCAAACGCTTAGAATGCAAATTAAACGCTACCTACAGCTGTCACTAATTATACACTAATAAAAACATAATTTGGAATTATTAACTGGTTCACCAATTTGCAAACATTTAATGATCTAGATTTCGATCCAGATAAAGACGTAAGAAAGCTTAACAGCTAAAATAAACTCAGATGACTTAGTTATTTTAAGTGTACTTACTCAACATAATTAGTAAAATGACATTGTAATTGTCACTAATAATTCATTAAAAATAATTACTCAAATAAAATTGATTCTAACTGTTCTGTTTTTGTTGACTTGAACTTTAGAAACAGACAATAAGTATTTATTTGTATTTGTATTTTTTTTTTTTGAATGAATAAACAAATATGTGTATGATCTCCAGGAGGTCCATACACAGAATAAGGACATTTCTGAATACATAACCATCTTTTTAATTGTGAATTTAAAACATAAATGTTTAATAGCTTAAAAGACCTGTTTTCTGGATACAGAGCTAGTGTTACACCTCAGCTGGATTCTCCAAAGCAGCCGAATTAAGTTGTCTGAAATAGCAATAAATGTTTAAAAAAAAACAAGAAAAAAAAAACTGGAATATAAACCCTTTTCCCCTGACAACCAGAGGATGTGCTGCTCTCTGAAGTGACTGCCTCACAACGAGCAAGTTCAAAAAGTTTGACTCTAAATTAGTTAAAGCTGGATAAGTGCCCCCTCTCTCTTCCAGTGCAAAAACCTTCTTGGCCACAATGACAATTGTCAACGTTTGCTACATTTATTCGTAATACAATCCATATGAGAATATGAGCCACACCGTCCTATTGCTGGACGTCACACACCATACACAGCAATCGACTGAACCAACATCTGGAGGTACATTTAAGTAGAACACTTAAAATTGCTGGAATTTCATTAGTTTTGAACATCACAATTAAAAAGAAAAACTATTTTTTACAAGTAAAAATAACAGCTCAAATTTCACACCCCATTTCTTTTTGATAGTGTATTTATTTACCAGTTAACACACATATAAAATTAGCTGATTAAAGCAAAGGAAGACATTTGTCTCAATTTCTTTGCCCCTGACAAATACAACATTTTATTAACATCTTGTTCATGTTATGCCATCATTCCAACTTTACTTTTATAAACCAAACTTCTATATTTCATGACATCGATACATTGCTTATGTGACAGGGAATTTGTTGCACTGTTTATATGTTTCTGAAGACAGAAAGAGGTGTTGAGAGTTAAAAGTTAAAATCTCTTTTCTGCATTTCCTGGCGCACTGACTTAATATTAATTTATCATCATCTTTAAAGTAAAAACTTTATTTCTCTCACTCTCGTTCCTAACCACCACTTCCCATGACAAACGTGCATTAAACAGCAGTGACCCGCCAATGCTGCAAACGTTTCCTGTGGTTGATTTAAAATCCGACTTTAAATTTCAAAGTAAGTTGCATGATCTGAAACTGTGGTCATGAATAATTGTGTGATATGTTTCTATTCTGGTTCATTGTTGTTTTTCTTATTTCAGGTGTATTTTCTCAACAACAACAAAAAAATACTATTGAGTCAGAAGAACGACATATTAAGATAAAGCATTTAACTAGGATGTATGGGTCCATCACATCAGCAGTGTTTAACTGTGGAAAGTAGAAGGAAAAGAACACATTGCTTTCAGCATTTTTGTACAAATGTAATCTGAAAAGTGTGGCAGGAAATCACCCCTAACCCCTTTAATAAAATAAAGTTCTACTCCATGTCCAAACTGAAAATAAGTAATTCAATGTGTTTTTCTTTCACCGTCTGTTTAATATAGTTTCTTCTGGGTCAGACTTTTTCTGTTGAGTCACTATAGGAAAATTAAAAATGAAATAATGGGATTAAACCTGGTGGGAACAGAACGTTTTTAAAACCAGGTTTGATCATCGTGTCGCCATAAAAGATTTGCACTGAAGAATCGAACTGGAAATGTTATGTGGTTTGGCCACATAACATTTCCTTAGAATGGCATCATCATTTCACCTTTATTTAGTTCCCTAAAGCTCCAATCCGGTTTGGAAACTCAGCTGATGTTTCCACACATCTGCAGATATGTCGCTTTTACAGTTGCACATTTTATTCATAAAGTTCTACAATGCTTGTTTTGGACTAAAGGATTCAGAAAATTTAACTCAAATTAAATATTTTAAATATACTGGAAATGTTTTTTTTTTTTTTGCTTTTGTCTAGTTATACAGTTTATATATCTCAGCTTAAAATCCTTCTAAAACAATTTAAAGATTTTAAAGCTAACATGAAAGCACAAATGAATTTACCAAGGCTTTATCTGATCATTCTTCATTTCAACATCATTTAAAAAAAAACAAACTTTTTTTTTATTACAAACATGAATACTTTATGTTCATATTTCTTCATGTTGCACCTTAGTTTCCCCCAGTGGACAGAAAACTGTTTTTTTTTTTTTATCTCAACTTGAGAAGCTTGTAAAAATATTCACATCCCTTGGAAATTTTTCCACAAAATTGTATATTGCACATGCTTTCACGAAAATGTGAAAGCATGTGCAAGACCAAACCTAAACTATAAACTATTGGCCTTCAGATAAAACAGTTCCGTAGGAAACATACACTGCACATCATCTTGAGCACGCCATCCTCATAGTGGAACACGGTAGTGGCAGCATCATGTCACAGTTACATGGTGTAAACTAAGCAATTAATAAATGGAAGAATGGACCAGTCAAAGTCCAGACCTAAATTCAACTGAGAAACTGTGGCAAAACTTAATTGTGCTCATAGATGTTCCACATATAATTGAGACTGCATTTCATAAATTTAACATTTTAAACTCACTTTCCCCCCCACCATGGCATACGTATTCACTTCTTTGTGTTATAAAAACTGATTAAAAATACATTAAAGTTGCCTCTTTTTTTTTTAAGCATTTTTGTCTTATCGATGAAGTTTAGGCTTTCAAAATGACATCTTATTACTGATAATTTAAAATCTTACCTTACCACCAGGGTAGGAGAGACATTTCACTTCTCAAAAGGAATGGCTCTGAGCTCCCGTGTGCAAGCCAGAAATATGCAGCGACACCACAACACGTAGATCTAAACAAGGAGATTCCCCCGCGCGCTATAAACCCCGTCAGGACTCATCACGTCGAGCCTTTGAGGTGCCCTACAACATTCTGCCTCTCCGCATACTTCTTATCCGGCCGTAACAGCTGGCTCGGGCCTGCTCCGCTCCCACCCTCTGATATGAAACTCCGCATCCGGTCAGACACTTTACGAGGACATCGAGCCGTTTCACGTCTCTCGGCCTTGGCTAAATCCTGCCGGTTTTTATGGAGCGAGGGTGGCGGTACCGCTGGGGGGACGGGGGAGTAAGGAGGCGCTTGTCTGCAGCTCTGAGCGCAGCGATGGAAATGTAACCAAACACCCAAAACTTTGGTGGAAATGGAGCACATGTTGAATGACAGGTGTAAGGGGTGGCCCGCTAAATAGAGCGGACGATTTGAGCTTAAAGTGAGCGTATCCATCGGGGTTTACAGCCGAAACCTGAATCCAAATATAATGGGCAGCGTCACCTAATGAGCTGCTTTGTTTTTCCGCTTGATAGGAGTGTGCTACATGCTTGACGTCAAGGAGTTCATCACACATGACACAGAACACATAGTTACAATCATTCTATATTTATTGGTTGAGGATAGCTGCCCTTTTGTCCAAAGGGGGATAAATGATCCCTTAAAGCAGGTTTATGAAGTTAAACCTCATACACATTTTCTTTTTGTTTCAAAGGAAAACGAGGTTTATTTACTGTCAAGTAACATGGCATCATCGCGTCTGTCCTGTTTTACCACTTCCTAAAAACCCGGTGACAACATGGTTTCCACCTTAACGAGCTGCAGAGGCTGAGGCTTTCCGTGAGAGTGGTGTAAACAGTACAGTCATTTCTCAGTCAGATATAAGACACAAGAACTGGTGGGACCTTTTAAGAATAAATATACATAACTACAGAACACACAATTAAAAGATTGCAACTTGGTGTGTTTTCTGTAAAGCAGTGTGTCAGCAAACATCTTTCCACCCAGGAGTACTGCGGTTAAAAGGAGGGTCCCGGTTATTTCGCAGACGGTACGAGGGTCAGAGGCGCCGCCGCGTCCCCCGGACTCCGACTGTACTTCTTACAGGTGAGCGCCAGCAGCAGCAGCATGGGCAGGTGCCACAGGCTGCAGAAGAAGAGCTTGCGGGCGCTGTTGCGGTCCCCCTGGTAGTAGAAGCGGGCGGCTAGGTAGCTGATGTACAGGTTGATGGGTAAGGAGATGACGGGGAAGTTCCAGGTGGTGATGTCCAGCGCGGGCGCTAGCGTCGTCAGCGGGATCAGGGCGAGGCTGTGACGCAGGGCCACTCGCTTGCACATGCCCGGGTGAGTGACGGACATCATGCGATAGCCGCCGCGCGAGTAGTCTTCCCTCAAGTTCCAGCTGAGAGCGTTGAAGTGCGGGAACTGCCAGCAGTAGAGGAAGCCGCCCAGTACGAAAGCACCTGGTGGGGGTCAGGGGGGAAGGAGGGAAGACAAAGGGATTCAAAATCAAATAAAATAACTGTCCAACTTTGAATACCAGATGTCGCAAGGCAATCATTTTATGTTGTATCAAGACAAAATGCACTTGGCTTTCAGAAGACACATGTCTGACTAATGTCACCGTACGACGACCTTTTTAAACCCAAACATTAAATGCAAATTCCCCGCTGGGTTTCTCTTCCTCTTTGGCTTTTTTCAGGAAACATCTTCTGGCTGACAGTAAATGTTGTTAACTTTGACTGAAATCTGAAGTTTAAAAGCACAGACAACTAAGAAAACTTTCACTGCGCTCTCCCCACCATGTCAACATTGTGGTCTAATGAGTCACTTGGTTTCCACATCCTGTCGAGGGTTCAAACAGAACTACAGAACCTACTGAGATCAAGAACCAATCATGTAAATGTTTGACTTTGCTTTAAAGGGGCAGTATTCTGTGTTTTCCAGTCACATAGTATCATTTTATTGCACAATCAAGCAAGCTTGGATACTGCAGTTCGGAGGAGGAGCTTTTGTCCTCGTAGGCGGCGTTAGGTCCAACCCAAGAGGTTTGCACAGCAGCTGAGTGGTTGAAGGACTAAAGAATCAATCCTTGTCAATTTTACAGAAATTCACCCCTTCAAGCAGTTTTAGGATAAATCTTTGAATTAATGAAGAGATGACTTCACAATAAAAAATTCTGCTGTGTTTAAATTCAATTTAAATTCTCTGTCCTTAAAACCTTCATAAACAAAATGAAGGCTCAGCGTAAACATGCAGCATAAAACTGACCGTCGGGTCTCTCAGCGATGTTGAACCACATATGACACATTTGATGCGTCTTCTAAATGACACACTTAAGCGTTTCATAGCTGGAAGTAACATGTCTTCCATTTATCAAACCTCAATGAACCTCTGGTTAAACACGATGACAGAAAACGAGAACACTCGCAGCATTGCTGAGAAACCAGCGATCAATGCGTCTCTGAAAGCAGTCAAACTCAAAAGAAAAGGAGCTGTTCGAAAAGCCAGGAGGGGAAAGAATAGGCGTTACACTTGTACCTGGATCCAGACTGCCTGTGGCAGCGCACCAACCCATCACAGGGGGTATTGCTCCGACCACCGCTCCCACCCAGGTGTTGACGATGCTGAGCCTCTTGAGCGGCGTGTAGCAGCAGGTGTACAGAAAGATGTTGAAGGCGCCCAGGAAGCCTGTTAAGGGGTTTACTGCCAGCGTGAGAAGAGCAACTCCAGGAATGCCACAGGCCAGAGCGAATGACACGGCATGTAGCGGGCTGATAAGAACAGAAGAGAAAAAAAAAAAAAAAAGAAGAAAAGAAAGAAAAACAAATCAGTTAAATCAGCGAGATAAACACGTACAAGACAAAAGCTTAAAAAGAAAAGTTAAATTACAAAGATTTGAGCTCAGGGAAGAGCCCGTCGCTATCCTGGGAACTAAAGGATGATAAAGTTTCGCAAGCTTGTGGAAACACAAGATAAGACGACGAGAGCCGCACGAATTTAGCACCGACACAAACAGACCCACAGGGGCCAAGAGCCAGCATGGCTGCGTCTCAAAACGGGAGCTTAGGAGGAAACTCATCTGATAAGAGCTCATCAGGGATAAAAAAAAAAAAAAAAAAAAGTGGCCTCGGCGAGATGAAGGAGCGTGTGCGCACGCCAGAGATCAAAACGGGCTGAGAAAAACCGCAGCAGCTCAGCCTGCTGGCTGGATGAAGACAACTTCCTCCTCCTCCTCCTCCTTCTCCTCCTCCTCCTCGTCAGCAGCAGCCATGGTAAGGCCTGGTTCAAATTCAGCACCAACTGATCCGTAAATTACAGAGAGGGGAGATTAAAATCTTGACCAAACGCAGGCCTCTTCTTCAAAAAGCAAACAGGGTCCTTATTTTTGGTGTGGTGGCCACGCAGTGAGATAAGAGCATTAATGTGATCAGTGGTGTTGTGGCTGCTTCATGTGGCCTGAGGTGGAGCCGCTCAGGCTGCCTATGAGCTGTTGACAGCAGCTGGGGGTCGGGGAAGGAGGTGCGTCACTTGGTCAGAGGTGGGTTTGCTGTCAAGATGGAGAGTAAAACAGATCTGGGATGTTTCTTCAGAGTGAGATTTTAAGACTCCTTTACTTGAGAAAAATTTCATGATAAAAATATGACCCATATTCCTGCCACTGAAGAAAAAACAAAGAGGGTTTATGTTTCAGACAGAAGAGTGGAATTAATGGATGGATGGATGAATGGGTGGATGGAAAGAAATAACTCTCAATAAATAAATGAATGTTTAGCAATAAATTGAGACATCAATGGGCACATGGACAGAAAGCCAAATGCACTGATTTTGCCCAGACGGCTGAATGAATGGATTGTTGGACAGATGTCTGTTTACAGAAAAAAAAAATCTGATTAGACCAAATTATTTGTAGTGTTTCATATCTATATCACTTAGGCAACGGTAAAGAGAATTACGGTCCCGCGACACAAATATTCTCCCACATTTCTTCCTTGCCTGTTCTGATGTGCAAGATAGCTGAAGCAATTTCCACACTTCTTCTGACTTTGAGATTAAACCCATAGAATGTGGCGAAAGAATGGCTTGTTTGACAGGAACGTCAGCCAACCCATATGCTCCCTTGTCTTCACACATCATTGCATGTGTGACACAAAGGAGGAAAGGCTGATTGCTCAGATTCACAGACAGATATATAAATAACTTCTCTTGTTAGAGAAAAGTTCAAGGAAAAATGTTTACACAAACAAAATATTTTACATGACCACCTGTAAGCACTGAAAATATCCCATTAGGATTTTTGTGCAGATTACTTAAATATGAGCTGCTTAGATATAACTACATATGTATCCAGTCCCTGGGAAAAATCTGTGGGCAAAAGGCAACACGACAGGTTTATAAAAGTGATCTTACATCTAAACAAGAGAGTTGTGGGTTAGGGCACAACTAACTCCTCACATCTGTTTATTCCTCTTACAACACCCTAATAAGTCAGCAAACAGCTATTCATCAGTCATCAGTGCAAATCTAACTGCAAACACACCAGACATAGACATCAAACGCATTTTGGTCACAATTCACCACCAAACACTAAACAGAACCTGGGTGGCCTAGTCCAAACAAGGCTCCTCAGCTGCTGCATGTTACGCCTCCTACACAGTGTTCCATTAAACAGGTGCATCTCAGGACAAAAGAGAATATCATCGAAAAATTCAGGTAATTGAAGATTTCAAATTGATTTTTTTTTTCCCATGTTATTTTGACCGTTTTCCAGCAGACAGCTGTAGACACCCTCCATAAGGAGAGTAAAAGACAATGCAATTGTAAAATAAAGTGTTTTTTTTCACTGAGTGCTAAGTTTAAAAATAAAAAAGTTGAGTGGAAGGAAAAAGTGTGATAGTAAAAACGGTCCACAAGCCTTAAGAGGATTGTGGAGCAAAGCCCATTCAAGAGTCACAACAGACTGAAAGTATCAGGGGCATCGACAACAACTGTCACATTCCTTGTGTATAGCTAAAGCCTAAAAACCAGAAAAGAAATAATCAATAATAATAAAAAAAAACAATATTTCTATCTCAACAACAAGGTTTTATGGAAAAGGTGGTTTCTGATCAGCATCTATCGTTTTGGCAATGAACAAGACAGCTGGAGTTTGTTAATGAACTGACCTTTTCCCACCGCTTTTTATGATGCTTTGTACTGTACATTAGTAACTAGCTAACATCGATTTAGTTCTTCCAGATATGGATATTGTGCACTAATCCATCAACAGTAAATTTGCAATATATTATGCAGTCCTAGGCCAGTGTGACGCTTCCACAATGATGATGATTTAAGAAAGTTTGTCATCTGCTGGTGTTGGTCCACGGTTTAATTTTTAATTTTTTTTAAACCAAGTTCAAAGTCAGCACAGCTGCCAATTAGGAAACTGAAGAACATTTTATGCTTCCCTTTACTAACAAGCTTTATGGAAATAATGATTTTCTTGCAGGACTTGGTGCCAGTCCACACTGCCAAAAGTTCTAGTATCTGCTTTAATGACCATGTATAACTATACTCGACGATGACGAAAGACACAAGACTTAATGCATACCAACCGCAGGCCTCCATGCCAAACTGCATCGATGAAGTAATTCATGCAAAAGGAGCCCCAACCAAATATTGAGTGAATACAGTACAAGGACAAACTTTTCTCTGGGCTATCCTTACTTTTTTTTATTTGTTTGATGCATTATTCTAATTGTCTGAGGTACAGAATTTTAGTATTTCCATTAGCAGTAAGCTAATTAAAAAAATGTTAGTTGTGTTAATCCTAAAGGACTGATAATAAACATTAGTTTAAAGGCCAAAGATCTACAGTAACACGGTATTTAGCAGAAGCTGCTGCTAAAAGCGCTAAATTCAATTCAAATTATTTCTGCTCTTAGCCGTCGACAGCCCTTGAGCACCAATTTAATTTTGACATTATATTTGACATGTTCTATAACGCATCTAAATATTGTATTTATGTTTGTATCTTGGTTTTATTTTGTTCCTGTTTGTTTCTTGTTTAAAATAAAGTTAAGGTGGGGGTGGGGGTGGGGAGGGGGAACATGATGAGAGAAAAAGGAGCTGCTGCGTAAATAGTCTTTGACATAGAAGCCTGAATATAAACGTCTAACTACTTCAATAGATAACCAAAACTTCAATGCAGATGACCTTTTTAAACTAAAAGCTTACAAGACAGTCAAGAAAACTAGCACTTTTGAATGAATCTGGAAAAATATATATTTAGGGGAAATCAAAAATATATATTTAGGGGAAATAGCACGAAATGTTTTCAAAGTTAGCAAAAGCGCTAAAGTGCTAAATGTAAAATTCACCAACAGAGAGTACAGGGAAAAACTCCTAAAACTGATTCCATTCCGAGTTTAACTCGAGTTGAATTACTGAGACAAAATAACTTTCCAATGAAATTTTGATGCATTGAGATACACCTGTACATTTTAAGAGAATACGAGAAATAAAGGTAAGAAGAAGCAGAAGTCCAATGTGGAAAAAAATAGAGAAATACGTACCTGATCTGCCCTCTGACGAGGGGACGGTTCTTTGTTCGGTTCATGTTGGAGTCAAAGGGCACCTCAAAGTACTGTGACACACAGAACGAAAAGGCATGTTAATGATGAAGACACATAAACAAATGTTATTCTCCTTAAAGTACAAGACGTGAGGGACAACTAAAGTGCATTTTGTACTATAGCATTTATCAGTTTTGACTGTTTAGGAATTCTTACGTACAAGACACCTGCAAAAATACACATGTGGCTTGGAAAAGAACTCTAACATTTATTTATTTATTTTTTTTGCTTCTTACAGATGCAAATAAAGGTCAGGAATGGAAAGACTCAGCTGCCATGGCTTCTTTTCTACTTCTGTCTGCATGCAACAGATATTGCTCCACTTGCTTTGTACAGAAATGTCAGTGATTTGGTATGACAACAATTACTGTACCACACAGAAACGCAGGGGGAAAAAAAAAAACAAAAAAAATAATTGTCTGCTTTTTAAAAAGTCAAACATGGTCAAAGTCAAGTGATCCTCCTAATGAGTAAATAAACTTGAGTTGCAAGGTGGAAGCAGTGAGCCGTTGGCCGTGGTGGAGGTGGGGGGACGGGGAGATGTAGGACTGTTCTGGGATACAACTTTGTAAAAACTACGTATACGCCTGTTTTATGATCTGCTCTGGAGGAGTGAGCTTCAAAGAGCTCCCATGAGACTGGCAATGTGTGACTAAAACGCAAACATATGGGGTGCTTAAAGACAGGAACTGGCTAATCTTTGGATGTGTGGAAACACACCTTCTTCGATTGAGGCCTTCGGCTAATGAACAAAACAGATAAAGCGCTGCCAGTACAGAGCTGCGGGATGCGTCGCTTCTGTTTATAGTTTCACTAAAATATTTAACAGACAATTTGCCCTTGTTTTACTTTAAAAGAGTCCTCAGACTTCCTCTTCTAAAGAACACTGAGATAACATAGTACTTCAGGCCCTGGTGGGATCCACATCAGTTGACACACAGTTTAGCTTTTAAGAACCTTATGATGTTGTGGATGTAGTATTTGTATGAAGCATGACATAGCTTCCAATGCTGAAAAAAATGACTGGGAATGAGCCAAAATGTTCAAACTTTGCGTAGGCCACTCCAAAACCTTCAATTTGTTCTTTTTGTTCATTCGGAGGTGGCAATGTTCATCTGAAATCCTGAGTTATGTTAACGCCACATATCGTGGACTTCTAAAAGAGTTTTCCTTTAACGAATAAAATGATAATTTTGTACTTTCCAAAGTTATCTTTGTCTGATATAATTTTTTGATGACCTCAGATGTCTAAATGTGACAGAGAAGCAAAAACAGAACAAATCAGCAAGGGGGCAAATTCTTTTTCACAACGCTGTAGAACATTTAAGGCAAAAAAAAAGAAAAAAAAGAAGAGAAATAAGATTAAAAAATAGAAAATAAATGGATGATAGTACATGCTTGGAAGAGGTTTAGTGGAGGTTACGCTAACCTGTTAAATATATATCCTAGCAATGAATCTGTCAGATTTAATATGACACTAGGGAAGATATTTATTGACATTTCTGACTTTAAACATATAATCAAATGACACAAGTGTTGGAAAACAAAAATGTTAAGAAAACCGGGACTTTGCAATAGAACCAAAAATGGTCAAATATCCTTTTTTGGCTGAAGGTGGCGCAGCAGAAAGTCTTAAACGGTACACACAGACGTAAAAATAGAAAGTGCAAAAAAGCTCTTCTCCTCAAGGTCCGGCGTTGTACGAGTCCACAGGGTCTGACGCACAGCTGTGGCTGAGAGGCTGGCGGACCCCGGAGCCCAGACTGAGGTGTTAATTCTATTTCCTGGGTCAGGAAATGCGTCAAGAGGTCAGGGGCCGCATGAGAGAGAAATGCACTTTGCGGCCAGGCGAGAGAAAAGCCACGCAGAGCTGAGCCAGGCCTCAAAGAGGGCCTAGGGCCAAGCTTGCTGCTGCAGCCCGGCTCATATAAAACGGATCCACGGTTTTCCAAAAACATTATTGTAACTTTTTTTTTTTAAATGGCAAAAATTTCTTGTTTAAAACAGTTCTCATGCATAGTAAAAAAAAAAAAAAAAACAAGTTTAGGGAAATCCCATCAACATGTTTGCCATCATTTGGATGGTTGTCACGCTTATTGTCAGATAGATGATGATTTAAAGTGAGCACGGGTCACTCTGTCGGCCCCCCTGGGTGCAACATGCCGTCGTTTCACAGAACGCCCGGCCCGGCTCTGGTTTGGTCCTACAGCTCTGCCGGTTGCCGTACAGTTCCTCATCTGGTTCACATCAGCGGCCCTCTAAACCAGTGTGATTAGCCTCCATCCCGAAACACACACACACGCACGCACACACATACACACAGAGCACTGCCATGTGTTACAGTGATGGCAATGAAATAATTGGCCCACTTGTGTTTGGTGTGCATGCAGAGGCACTACTAGGGGTAAGTCCAGAGGCTGCAGCAGGTCTTCAGTCGCTTTAAGTCGCGATAACTTGACTTTGTAATTAACTGATGGAGGTCAACGGGTATGACTTAGAGCAGTAATGCTAGACCACATGAGAACATTTATTTACAATGACATTGCTACGGAAAGACATTATTCTAATGCCTGCTGAGGTGACATTGATACTTTAAAAGACTTCCTCTTAATAAAAGCAGTTAGAAGCTCTTCAGAGGACCCACAGTTTGCAGCCCCCTTAAAACGTCATTTTGATTTTAAAAACGAGCAATAGAGAATGATAATAAAATGAATCTGCATTGAATGCACAAAAATATCTATCACGTATCTATAAGGTGGAAAATCACAACTTGTTCATGTCTGCTCTTAGAACTTTGCAAATGTTCTTCAAATTTATCAAGTAAAAACTCTCTTATAGACAATATAACACGCAAGATTTAGTTCAGGAGTGCAAAAGTTTTAATTCCTAATCTTTAGTTTTTTTTTATTTCTTTAGTAGACAGTTCAAGACTAAAACTGACTGACATTTGGAGCTTTTCATATTTCCATTTATCTCGACAAAGTCCCCGGCTCCATCAGAAGAAAATGACGCCACAGCATGATGCTGTCGCTACAATCTTCCAGTGCAGGTTTGGTGTTATCGAACATTCTCCCACACGGCTTTAGGAGGTTTTTGTCAGGCCTGAATATTTTATTTGGAATAAAAGGCTTCGGTCTTCGAACTTTAGAATGTGGTTAAAACAAGAGGAAAATTCAGAAGATTACTGTCACATGTGGAACACAACCACTCCTCGTTTCTGCAGCTCCCTCAGTGTTGCCGTTTGCCTCTTTGTCGGGCGTCAACAGTTTCAGGGTTTTTTTTGTTTTTTTTCCATTTAAAACTTTTTCTGTGTTTGTTCACTGCTTTACTTTGTAACTTCTATGCAAAATTTGGCTTTAACTAAAGGATTCAGACATCTTTACAAGACCATTTAAACTTTATTTCAGCTTCATCATCCAATATCCTATAATTAAAAGACAGATGTTAACTATGAAGGCTGTAACTAAACGAGTTAGTATCATGAATCTACACACTTATCCAAAAAGGCTCTTCTTTTAATCGACATGTTTTCCTCAGAAGCATAAGTTTATTGGTTAGTTGACTTATGCAAGATATGGTATGTTAAAAGGTGGTATCTTTTACATCGCAAATACTTGATGTTTTATCAGGGATTTGAAGATCTTAGACTCATTTTAATAGGGGCTTCATATGGATGGATAATGTAGAAATCTTGAGCCAAAAATTACTTTAAGGTTTAAGATTAGTTGTTTCATCCTGAAGTCATTTGGCTTAAATTACAAACCTAATTGAGAATATTGGCTACTGCTTGTTTTAAGACAAGCAGAGTTCATTAATCATTTACTTTATGTTAATCCAAAAATAATGCTGAACATTATCCCTATAATTCTCTTAAAAACTCAATTAATCAGTACCAGTCTATTGTTTTTGAAACGTCAAACATCCCAAAAAAAAAAAAAAAAACGGAAGTTGGGGAGGGACGACTGCTGTTTTCAATTATGAACACAAACGACCACACAAAACCCCTAATTGTAGGGAAAATTATTGGCCAGATGATAAGGACGGAAAACAGAGGAGACCAAAGCAAGGAGTGAGGCAGAGGGGGTGTTAAGTTACCAGATCCTCCGAGTTATCAAAGAAGGAGCGTGATTCAATGCCAACCACCAGGTCTAAATTGACAACAGACTGCAGGATGCCTTTCTAGTTTTTTTGGGGGGTTTTTCCCCCCCCCCGACACAATGAAGTAGCTCTGCATCAGGAGATAATTTATGGGGGATCTACAAAGTGATTTATGTTTGATTAAAATATGAGAAACCCAACCATTAAAGAAAAAAGAGGAAGTGAGGCGAGGCCAGAGAGGAGCGGTTGGGTAACAACAATCTTTTTACTGTTTACTTGAGCGGCAAGAGTGCAGCTAAACACAGGAACCGGGCAACAGATCCAGCTAAGCAGCTGTAAACCTTTGACTCACAGAAACATCAGCTGGTCTAAACACCGCTTGCCTCTCCGTGGCTCTGCTGAGGGAACCCCAGGTGCATGGGCTAAAACCAACAACCACAAGTCATCACCTGTCAGGAAGTCACCTGTTTTGCGCACTCAAAACATCCACCGGGGCGAGTGGTGCTCTGTTGCACGCAAGGCAAGTCTCCAAAAACTGGATAAGAGAAACGGATCTGAAAAGCGTCACTTCAAGGCTAAACGGGTGAAATGCCTCTGATCCAAACAAGCAGCAAAAGCTTTTCTCAAAAGCCTGATTTCTGGTGCTGGCAAGAACTCCAATTTTCTGTTTGTTTTTTTTGTTTTTTTTTACAGTAAGAAAAATAAAAAAGAAAAACAGCAGAAAACAAAAGTATAATACATGCAAGTCGGTGCACATACACAAACAATGTTAAACAGGTAAAGGCTATTTATGTTCTGCTGAACGGTCAGTGAAAGAAAACCTGTTCTAGATATGTGAACAATGTCAAGATTGCAAGTCATGCCACCAAAAAAAAAATGTTTGCGATGTTCAAGGTAGTTATTAAACTGTTAGCATGAACTGAAGTGCATATCCGAGTGATGAAATGAGCGTTATTAAAAAACAGGAAAGCCGGGAAAGGTGAGGACAGTTCAAAGCAGATGAATGTTGACTTATTGTACCTTTGAAGGTATTCACACTCCTGGAACATTTTGACATCCCCCCCCTCCCCCATCTTGCAACCCAAAACAACAATGTATTTCATTGGGATTTTGTTTGACACTTGTAGATAATTGGAAACAGGTTTTATTTAGGTAGCAACAGAGGAAAGGAGGACAAGTCCAAATCTACAGCACACTCTTGAAAACCGCGCATCGATAGAACTGTGAATATGTTTACAAGGCACTGAATGAAGTTTGTGGAATTGGTGACCCAGACAGAAGCAGGGGAACGAGATGTCCTCGATTTTTGAATGACTAAACAAAAACAGGAACAGACCTGATCAAATTTATGTCACTTCACTTCTGTCTCAGAGAAATATTAATACTTAGATCAAGCCATTTACAAACAGAGGTGAAAGATAAGCCCCCCATCTGTGCCTGAAACGGTACATATGGCAACCAGCAGATGTGTTTGGGACTCGTTGCCCTCTGTGATCTCCTGGTGTGATGAAATGAAAGGGGAGAGCCTCATCTGGTTAGTAATGAAAAGCTGAACATTTCTCTGTCTAATTCAAGACTCTAAATCAAAGAGGTTTAGTAAAAAAATCAAAACCAAATAGCCCACTACCATGTGATCAAAACATCTTAAGGTCACAGTTGGGAATGCCTTCTGGGTTAGAATATAAGAAATTTAACATCCGACCTCAAAAAGTGACTTTTTCTTTTTTGTTCTTCTCACTTTTCTAAGCACCCGAGCTCCACAATCCTGCTGCTTTACAACACTGTTTTCATTTTATTCCTCCTTTACAGGCCCCGTTTTACACAGTGCAGTACTTTGTCTTGCCAAAGAGTGGATCACGTCTCGCTTTCAGCTGTGTGTTGAACCCCAACCTCTTCTAGCGCTCTTTAAAGTGGTCTGTGCGGGAAGCGTTGGCAGCGGTTCAGCTGGCACGGCCTCGCTCCTGATTAATGGGCTGAGTGCGGGACAGTGAAGTGCTAAACTGTCCTCATGTTAATCAGCCAATTAATGCTCAGCACAGCCGCCTTGCCTCTGCCCTGAAGATAATCTGTTCCTTTGGAGATACGGACAGGAAAAGGAAAAGGAAAAGCAGAGGTGTGCTAGAAAGCGGCTTTAAAAGAAACAACCATATTAAAAAAAAAAAATCTTAAAAGGGAGAAGATAATAGAGGATTCATAATATTTTGACCTGAGCAAAGGAGAGATTGCCAGCAAGAGCTTTATCTCTATTAATAACTTCAACAAAAGCTAAATGATAGTAATTTGTATCCAATTGATGTGGAGCTCAGTCTCAAGCTGTGAGGCAAAGCTTAGGTCAAGGTTTTGATCTGATAAATTCCTTTTTTTTTTTTTTTTTAATTCTTTATGTATTACTATGATAAGACCACAGTGCCTCCTGGTGTGAGGGAAGACTTGGATTACAAACAAAAGAAAAAAGCTTGACGAGATATTAAAGCCATTTGTTCACTGCATTGAGATGACATAACTTTAACACAATCTGATGTTTTTTTTTTGTTTTTTTTAAAGCTCTGTTAAAGCCACACAGCCTGCCCTTAGACTGGAAGGAACAGACGAACTCAAAGTGGCAAAAATTATAGGTTCACTGAAAAGGTACAAAGCTAAATATGTTGACAGTTAAGATAATCACACTGAATTAACATTTTCTTTTAAGGCAGCTGCCTGGGAAGTGGAGTAGGTTCTGTCATTGAACGCAATGATAAAAGTGAGACATCACGCCATTAACCAACGGGGGTACGTCTGGCTATATTTAAGGTAGCAAAGATGTGGGGAAAAATTCAACCCTTACTCTATAAGGGTAGTGGTGTCTGTGCTGTCTTTTTAGGCTCGGAGAGGCATTTGATACTGTCATCATGGTCGGGTCGTCCAGACTGACTGCCCAGTAGTGGTCCCGCAAGGCTCTGTTCCCAGACCACTAATTTTAGGACCTTTTTATCAGACGTCTGCACAAAAGTTAAAAACAAAATGTATGCTTCATGATGCATGTGCAAAAGTTGTCCAACAAGCATCTTTATTCTCACACCGGTTCTCCGGCCAACTGATTTTTCATATCTTGATATTACTCTGAACTAAACCTTAATGTTCATAAGTCAGATCAAAACTATTACATTTTACAGTTTAGCACCAGCTTTAACAGTGTTCTTTATTTTATGTCTTTATTAAAGCTTACACTTGTGTTTGGCACGTTTTTTCCCCCTAATTGATTCAGTTTTAGTAGGTTGAGGGTTGCTGGTTTCTTGGTATAAATGTATCTTTTATTTCATTCTTTTATGGTTTGACGCCAAATTTAGCATGGTGGCTAAATCTGGCAGATTAAGAGGGTCTAAGTAGGTTCGTTACCATACACTGTTCCTTTTCAAAAATAACTGAATAAAAAAAAACACGTAAGTGTTTGCAGAAAAGAACTGGGTATCGTTTACCACTGAATCAGACGCTGCATCATGTTCAGACAATCACTTTAACTCTACTAAACATATAAACTGTGCAAACAGCATTAATATCCTTGGAATGACCTTCCATATCTCCAGACTGAGTCTGATAAGTTAATGTTTTGGCCTAACGAGGCCATTTCTTAGCCATTTCTGATTGCCATTAGTTGTGCAGACAGTTGACCGCTTTCTATTCAGTCACACAAGCTGAAGGAAAACATATCAGCAAAAGCTGAGCAAGTAGAATTAGGCACCCGCTTTGTGTGTGTGGTCACTTGTTTAAAGAGAAATAAACAGTCCTTTCCGCCGTGAGGGGGTCATTTTGCAAATAACTGTGAGGGTGTGACTGACATGACGTGAAGTTTGAAAGCCTCTCTACAGTTGAAACAAAGGCCTGAGCATGGCCATGTGTATGTTTGAGAGAACGTGAGTGTTTACATTTTCAATCTGCAGCTGTGTCTGACCACAAGCAGCCTGGAAGCAGAGGGGAATGCGTATGAGTCAGCCTCAACAGCGCTCCGATATGGCTAGTCTGGAAGATCTGGAAGAAATTCAACGTTGGGAAAAAAGACAGGATGCCTATGAAGTCCTTCGCTGTTCACCAAAACATGACAGCAGCCGTCAGCACCTCTGGTAGATTTGTATTCCAAGCAATGACCCATGGATAAAATCTTTCCTTCGTTTGGACAAGCTCATTCAACAAGCCAATCAAATCAAAAATGATGAGGACCTCAGTGGAAGGAGTACAGATTTCTTAAAGTCTGTGTGTCACTCATTTACCCCCAAACAGCAAATTTCACTTATGGATAAAAGTCATCGGGATTTGGTGAGCAGTTTATTAGCCACTGTTAATTTTAACATGCTTCTTTAATAAAACGTAAAATAAAAAGAACACAATTTATATATGCATATAGTTTGTATTTCGATCAGTTATTTAAAACAAAAAGTTTGCAATATAGTTAGCTAAACATCAAATGTCTTGATTTTATGTGAGTGAAAATTGTATTAACTAATAATCCTCATTGTGCTTTAAGGTGGCCAGAATTAAAAACAGCTTTCAGTCAAACTTTCAAACATTTTTTTTTTCCCCACAGCAAAACCAGGGACATGTGTATGGCAGAGCAGCTTTTTAAGGAAGTTGGACATATTAACATGCAATTTGTGGGAGAAAAGAAGAGTAAAGATGTGTATCATTTCACAATGAGAGTCAATACGCGTAATGTAAATAAGCAAAGAAATAAATGAATAAAAATAGAGAGCTAGCTCATGTCGGGTTACTTCAATTGATGATCTAAACATAGAACCAGTTGTTTTTGAGGGTGAATAACGAAATATAATAGCATCCAGATGGATGGTCAGGTGGTGGAAAGTTTGTTTAAAGTGGAGTGTTTAGTTTGCTCTCCCTAAATATTGTTTCTTGCTTTACCCATAATGAAGATGCACTCTCAGAGGTTGGGCCACAAGACATTTTGTTTATTTTGTGTCTGGACAGTGTACTGTTAAAGTGGACTGGTGAAAAATCCCAACTAAAACTTAGAAAAAAGTGAAGACAGACCAAACGCAGTATGCACAGTTCAATAAAAACAAGAAATGACAGTAAGATCATAGGATTATATGATCATGGGATATTTTTTGCCATATCTTATTGGGGAGCAATCTATACAGGAAAGATTTTACTGACCCACATATTGGGAACCTTAACAATCATTCTTAATTTGTTTTAATCTAAAATAGCTATTTCTATAGTTAGCATGTCCGTCATGTTTGACCACCTAAATGAAACAAACTGACTCTCTCACTGCACACTGTGAGAGTAGCATCGAGTCTCTTGCTGTGAAACTCATGTGTGAACAGAATCCGGAATAAAAAAATAAAAAAAAGCATGTACTGAATTTATGGCACTTTCTTTGATCTCCTTGTGTGCTTGTTTGGAATTGGCACTACATCAATATCCATCGTGACAGGAGCCAGGAAAGAACCACTGGGACATTTGTTTGAAAGTAGGCAACCTTGTTGTCAGATGTTAGAAAGAAGAAATGCTTTTCTAGCAGTTTGTTCAGTTTATTGTGTCAGGCTGCAGTTGGATGCTGGATTTTTCATCCCCTGTACTTTCCATATATCTCGAAACAAGTGGTTATCACTGAGACTGAATGCAGGCAATGACACAGAGTTTATTGCTGAATAAGGAATTACACTGACTTCTTAGGCTAGTCCTCCTGTTGCAGGAGGTCAATAAAGTCAACGTCTGCTTGATCTCTTGCTTCATCAATAACCTTTCATGTAAAAGAAATGCAACTCTGATTAACTGTATGTATATATATATATATATATATATATATATATATATATATATATATAAAATGCTCTTATTGTTACTTGTTTCAGAGAAACAATTCTTTTTTAATTTGGAGCTGAATTGATAACAGAAATAAGTTCTAGATGTTTATAAGTCCACTTCTGTCTATTATTATTTTTTTAATAAAACATACTTATTTATTTACTACTTTTACTATGTAAATAGTGATTTATTTTTTTTTATCATACAGGAGACAGCATTTTATACCTTAAAGTGTATTTAGTCTTTGGTAACGTCTTCATTTTGTGGTTGGGAATAAATGCAAAACGTAACAATGAAAATGTATCTCATTTTATTGAGGAAACATAAGCGGCTTAGCACAATTGAATAAAAAAAAGCTGACAACAGATAAATAAAGAAATGCCATTAGTGGTTGCCAGTGCAGTGAGGACTACTTTATTAGGTGCAAGGTAATGTTGAGCTTTAGACATAAACAGCAAAAACAACTGTAATTTCACAGAACCTATGTTTTGCTCTCGATCAAAAGACAAAAAAAAAAAAAAAAAAAAAAAAAAAAAGCACAAAGGGGCAAGTTAAAAGGCCACAGTGCCTGAGTAAATATATATGCACTTGTTACACACACCCAGAGACACACACTTTGAACTGTTCTCTGAGCACTAATGAGCAGTTACTACACGACAGAGCCTGGCAGACTCCTTTTAACTACCATCAGCGTCTGCAGCGAATCTCGGTCAGACGGAGATTCTCACCCAGCAAAGCAGCACTCCATCTTTAAGTGAGTCGAACGAGAGGCGGAGCACCAGCAGGTGAATCAACACGTGGAAAGGATAAGCCTAATGAGACACCAAGAAAGAAGAACAAACGGAAGATGGACTAATCTATTCCTCTGAAGTGTTGCCGGTATTGTTTGAAGCAGAAAAATGTATACTATGGCAATATTAGAAAATAGGAACATGATATTAAGGAAATTTGCATTTCAAACACAGAGGACTTTGTCTTTTCCTACGTCTGATATTTTTCCCAATATTTGTGCTTAAAGAATATATATTAACACAGGTGCTAATTGAAATGAATAAAAACAATTTCAGAACAAGAGTATATTTTTGGAGTTCTTTCTACCCAACTACTCATCAGGTCTGGGGCACGGCAACAGGCCTCGCAACAACTGAAGCCTCAAGGATATTTCTCCGTTTAGTGAGACTATTATGAGTAAAACTAAAAGGCCACCCATGGTCACACAAAACACAACCTTTTTCGTATGCTAAATATCAGCCGTGGCATTTTTCAGTTCGTCAGGATGGGCTTTGTTGGTTACATAATGAAGGACAGAGGACAATGATGGTGGTTAAAGAGCAGAAAATATACAGTCTGAATAACCATCATTGGAGACCAGACCTTTTAAAATTTCAGATATGTGCAGACGGTGAGAGCGCAGACACAATTACTCAACCAGCAGTAGAGAGAGTTGGTCTAAATGTGAGGCGCCTGGCTGTTAATGTGATGTTTTCACAATGCCGAGCCGATACAGAAGATTTTACAAAAGGAAGATTCCTCCAATTTATAACATGTGATGTGCAGCAGACTCGTCGAGAAAATGTGACTTTCTGAAAAATCCAAAACAGAACAATTCAAAGCAGCCAGAAGAGAGGTAATGCATGTTCACCTGCCTGATAAGAATTAGAAGACAAGCTGTTGCATTTTGGACAAGCTCAAAGCAACAAAAATAAGGAGCTCGGCTATTTCACGGTTCTAATAAGTCTTATATTATGCAACTTATTTAGACTAGTTAAAACTAAATTAAAGAAGTCTACACTGAAAATAGATTATTTAAAATACACCTCAAGGTTTCAAAAAGCTTGCCAAGTTCTGTTAATACGCATAGAAGGAGCATTTTCAATTCTTTTTGACATTAGGATGAACTTTAGATTCAGTCTAGTGAACAAAAACACGGAAATTGCAATAAAAGTACCAATCAAACCTGGATAGAGGACAGTTTGGGACTTGTTACTCTGTTTATTCATGCAAAAACATAGAGGGATTCTTAGCTCACCCAAAAGTATTACCACAGTTACCTTGCTCTTTTGAACCCAATATTATGTTTCAGTAGTGGATCACACCATCACCCTTGTCAATCTAAATAATTAAAGTGGATTGTATTAGCCGAAGATGTAAGATAATGCTGTGCAACTTTCAGTAAATTACAAGGCAGATGTTTTCATGGCAGTGAAATCCTGCTGCTATCTGTTCTTAGTTGCAATGCCCTGCGGTGCAAATCAGCCTCAACAGTCTGATGAGGCTGATTTGCCCAAGTAGAAACTGCAAAATTACACATCTGTACATCAAGTGTCTTAAATATGGCGGTGTTAGTTTATTTTTCGTTATTTAATTGTCTGCTCCGCTATACGACAAATTGACTCTGGGGGAGAAAATAAACTAAACCATAAAGCGTGGACTTCCATATTCGGATGATGCCTCTAAAGCTGAATAAGTCGTCAAACCCTTTGAAACAACCAAATGTGATTTTGAGCAAAAACAGGCAGAGCCAGAAAACAAAAATAAATGACGCACACAAAACTTGGAGGAAAAAAAAAAGAAAAGACTTGCCGGTAATCGTTCTGTTTTCCAGCAATGCCCTTGCCCCCAAAAACTTCTCAGATTGAATTTAATTAGCATGCAGTATTGGCTCATGGGCACACCATAAACAGGGCTGCTTTTGTTAATTATCCACGGATCTCAGCATTACAAAGGAGTGTTCCTACTTTCCTCTGGCTAAGTTACCTTCAAATAGAGGGTGAAAACTTGAGCTTCATGAAAAAAAAAAAAAAAAAGCTCAACATGTAAACAAATCTGTAATTGTCACAAGAAAATGCTGTAAGTATGTTCTTCTCTTACTTTAACCAGCCTCGTTAAGGGAAACAGATACATTCTTTAAAACCCAATCAATTAAACATCACTTGGTTGTTTTTACCATTTTGAGGGGACCGGAGATTTAAATACAAAGTGTGCGCTCTGTTATTACATCTACACATGTGATCATATCCAAAGAAATATAACAAACGAAAACCAGGAATAGAAAAAAAGAAAAAAAAAAAAAGAAGAAAACATTACGTCTCAGTTCAACACAAAACAGCAGGACATTCCACGAAAATTTGCTCTTTACTTCTCTCTCAGATTTCACAGCAGTAACCGTCCCACGCATCACAGCCCAGCGTGTACTCATCTGACTAACATGAGCGTTAGCAAAGATCTTCTGCATCACAGCAGAAGCTTTTCATTTTACTGTCAGAATAGTTGAAGTATATTCATGCCATAATGGGCTATTTGGAGAAACAGGGTTTGACGGAAAACAAAAACAACTTCAGGTTTTGAATACTTGCAGACAAAAGCTGACAGAAAAAAAAAAAGGAAACTTTTGCTACTTTGCAAAAATATTTAACCACACAAAAGATTTTATGTCAGGCAAAGAACCCTCGTTTAAATATAGGGGCTCTGTGATCATTAGGGTGAACAGATCCATGCCAGAAAAATATTAAAGACTGTATGGAATATATTGGTGTCATTGCAGTAGGTGGTCAAAATGAGCATATATAATTTAAAATATAAAACCCTTGCAATATTAAGTCTATAACCTTTCTTTGTGTTATTACGCAAGTTATCCAAATACATTTTTAACTGACCTAATTTTATCACATTTAACTGTACAGATATATTATCTAAATAAATCCGATTTACACTTGAGAGATAGATGAATAACACATGCAGGTAATAAATATAAATCACATCTTAAAGGCTTCAAAAAATATTTATAATTAAATCTAGTTACTTTTGAACTTTTAAAAACTATCATTGACAAAACTTGCATCTTCACTTTATTCATTTTTATCTTGATGAAAGGGTCACTTGGACATTGTTGTTTACATTTTATTTTGAGGAATGCCATAAATATGAAAGTCTATTGTAAAAGTAGTAAGTTAAAGAAAATGTTTTTTTTTTTTGAGAAACATTTTTTTTTTGCAATATAAAATAAGCCTACAAATACAAGACAGAAATTATAATTAACAGCTGACCTAGTTGAGACCATGACAAAGCTATTAAAAGTACTATAAGTAGTGATTTATTTTCCACTTTGTGTTTTTATCTTGCTAAATCCTGCCAGAAGCAGCACTGTTGACAGAAAAATGAAATACGTCTGGCGGAGTGGGTTTGCTGTTGCTCGGTTTGAAGGAGATCAGCGATTACTAAAACACAGACCCAGACTTGGCTGGAGAGCAGGACCGGAGCCAGAATGCTTTCTGCTGAGTAGTTTCCTCCTCTCTGACTCGTCTCTAGAAGCTGTCGGCAACTTCCCTAGACGGCCACGAAGCCCATAATCACTTAGTTTTGTAAAAATTAAAAAAAAAAGTAAAGGTTAATAATAAGGGAGGTTGCTCCACATGGTTCTCCATCAGTCTGTCCCGTTTCATGACTCATGTTGTGACTGTTGTGGTGAGGTACGTTTGCACCAACAAGATGTGGCCCTGACAGCACCGTAAGTCATTTTGGCGTGATCTTAAAAGAATGATGACATACTGCTGGCAACTGCAGGAAAACTCCTGTTTTCTTCTCTGCCCAAATCTTCCTTTGAAGTAAGGTCACGTTACATTAATTTGTGAAGACTTGAAGAAAAGTCGGAACATAAAGCGCATATACATCATGTGTTTCCTTCCAACAGCCTAAAGCAGTTTATTGATTTATTATCTGCACAACTTGAAACACCGTATTTAACAAGAAATAAATATATTCCTGAGAGAATTTCATCCAATCAACTGACATGACAAACATAGCATTTGCAACATGAAATTTGATTTTATATAATGAGATTTAGTTCAACATGTCTTGTGACAGGGAGACTGAAAGAAGTTGCATTTGATTAAATGCAAAAACTGTGAATGCAGATGAAGAATTCAACTGATAAAAAGAATCTAATGCAAGTATCAGAATGTTTATGGTATGTGAATTGGATTTATTGTATTTAAAATTTTCCCTAATCTGTTGAAATGAAATGCTTTTCTTGTGTTTTCATAGTTTTATATATTAACTTTCTTTTCCTTTGATTTCCTTGTTTCAGTTTTACACTATTCTAACATGAAGAACAGTAAGTTAAGTTCTGAAAACTAAGAATGCAAAAAAATTAATTAAAACAAAACAGAGAATAATGTAGAGAAACATTGATAAATTGTGTCGGATAGCAGAAAGAAATTTATCCTAAATATGCTTTCATGCAATATTCTGTAAAAAAAAAGAAAAGAAAAAAAAAGAGAAATTGAATAAAAATTAAAGAAAACACAGAAAAAGCCTGTAAATCCTACAGAGACAATACCATAATTAAAAGTTGCAATTTGGCAATAAGAAAATTCACTGTTTTCTATCTCCTCTTGATTTGCATCATATCACTAAATCTCACTCGTTATACAGTCCCATCTTCCCCTCAGGGACATTATTGCACTGTGACTACCTCCAGAAATGGATCAAAGGTGTAACAGGGGGTGGGTCAACTTCAACCCCCTCATCCAATGTTTCGTGTAAAGGCTGCAGATTGAAACTGTGATCTGAAGCGGGCCCATTAACCTGCTACAATTCTGCTTGATTTTCCAGATACAACAACATATCTAGTGTCATCAACACTACGGCAGTGAAACCTAACACTTCCTTAGCAACAATATTTGCCCTGGGTAACTATGAGTTTCTGTTAGGGACAATATGAGGCGCATCACTCCTTTCATGATAATATCAGAGGAAACCATCTGTCAACCGTCTGAGGCTACAAGAAATTCATTTGTACATTTGGAAATGGACCGGCATCCCACAGTCAACAAAAACAAAAGGCTTTGAAGAAATTAACTATTAAACAGGGCTGGCTGGTTAAATATTAATCCTAATCTGAATGGGTGATACCCACAGAGTCATTTTTGCCATGTTTCCAGGGCAATTAAAAAGCAAATGTCCATCTTTTCTCTCAGGCTGAATTAACAGCTTGCTGGAGACCATCAAAACAGAAATCTACAAAGCCTCAAAGTCAAAGATCAACTCAGTCTTTTGTTTTAACTAAGCTGGTGGAAAACAAGATCTTAAGGGCAGCATCTGCAGCAAGGGAGGGATCTCCTTTCATGTAAAACCGGCCATTTGGCGAACACTCTGATGTGCCTGACCTTTAAACTCAAAAAATCCCCCCCACAGCCATTCTCCAAGGCCTTTACGAGGCAAACTACAGCAACAATCTATCATTAATATGAAGCATTATTGAATATCTGTGCAAATGCAGACAATTAAAAAGGTAAGAATGAATAGTTTCTAATTCATTCATCATGCCGAAAATGCTAAAAGGTGAAGTTCAGAATAGTTAAGTTACTATGTAATTCTACAATTATCATAAATATTATGACAATATCCAACAAAACTAACCAATGGACGACAAATAACTTTCCTTTGGGGTTTTTATCTGTTTGTTCCTTTTATCAGGCAAAAGTGTTGGTGGGTGAGTTTGTAGTCCTTTGTGTCACAGTTGGTGGGATTTTAGGAGCTACAGGCTCTTGTTACAACTTATGACATTCTCAAGAGGTGCTGCCTTCAACATAGTACCTCCAAACAAAAGAGCAAGGGTAAAAGAAGAAGGGCGGAAAAAAAATACAGTGGCAGTCTCAACTTTGACTAGGTCATTCTAAGACATTAATATGTTTTATTTTGAAACATCCCACTGTAGCTCTGGTTAAATTGGACTGATTTCCTGCTGGAAGAGAAGCCTCTGTCCCCATCTTTAGTCATTTTTATCTTTAGCCGTTTTGGATTGCTTTTTTCTCCTTTGGCTTTAAAAAGATCTTCAGTGTGGGACAGTTTAGTCCCATAAATTTGCATATGCGATTTTCAAAGAGTCATCTTGCTTTATGTGCATGTTTAAAAAAAAAAAAAAAAATATATATATATATATATATATATATATATATATATATATATAAAGGGAACATTTCACTTTAATTTTGTGTGTGGCTCCAAATCCAGGCCTCCATTGGTTAATAAATTTGATTTCCATTGATGATTTTTGTGTGATTTTGTTGTCAGCACATTCAACTTTGTACAGAACAAAGTATTCAATGAGAATATTTCATTCATTCAGATCTAGGATGTGTTATTTGAGTGTTCCCTTTATTTTTTTGAGCAGTGTGTATAATATATATATAAAAAAAAACTGACATTGTAGAAAGTTCATACAGGAATAAATAGTGTGTGTTGTCGTCAGACTTTGATGGGTTTAAGTCGAAAACATTGGGTTCGTGGAGTTCACTTAATTATTTTTGCACAGATCAATTTAGTTCTCTGTAAAAGTCGCTCCTCTATTGCTCCAACAGAAGTAATACGACTAAATGTCCCCTAAAAATAAATAAAGTACAGGTTGGTCTGGATGAAATGAAAATGTATTTAAATTAATCAAACTTTCATATTTAAAAAAAAAAAAAAAAAAAAGATTAGTGAAAGAAGCATGTAGTTTACAGACAGCTGGTAACACACAGCTGTCTGTAAAACATGTGTCCCTGTTCAATCATCCCACCCGTACAGTCAAAAAGGCCGACCAAGATGCACTGACACGAAAGCACGCAAGACGGTAAATAATGCATGTCTGCACAGGACAAGACAGCAGGGTGCAGCTTGAGGTGGTAAGCAGTGGATGGGGTTGAGGGTGCGGGGTGGAGGAGGGGGAGTCGTGTGGGGGCTCGGTGTGCGTGCCAGCCTCAGACAGCTCACCACAAATGAGACAAAGACACAACAGAAACGAGCTGCCTTCGTCACGACAGCAGAAATGACACAAGTCAAGAGACAAAAACAAGCCTGTTTGCATTTTCATTAAACAAACACGCAAAGCAGCGTGGTGTGACTTACGCTTCAGATGCTGTCAAAACACTAAAGACACACCTCCCGCGGCCCCCACCCACCCGGCATTCAAAAGCTTCATTAGGTCCCGTTTACAGTGCCAAGGACCCTGAGACCTCCCTGGGGTCTTTCAGGCATCCTGCCTCAAACTTTCATCTGACCCAATTATCCAGTTAGAAGAAGTGGAGGTCAGGACTGAAAGTGAGAATGGCTGGGCCACCTGCAGAGGATTTTGCCATAAACATTTTAGCTATCATTAGGATCATAGAATACTTGGGGGGGAAAACAAACAAACAAACAAAAAAAGCACTAAAGTTAGTTATTTTCAAATAACTTAGAAGTCCCATTATATCTACTCATCACAAAAATATAAACTCTGAAGTTGAGCTTTGTTGCTGCATATGGCTTTTCTTTCTGACTATTAATCAATTTGACTGTAACCCCAAAGAATTCTGGTTAAAATACCACGGCTATTATGCTCCGGTTCCTTTGGGTCAGTTTCCAAAATAAATGAATGTTTGGAGAAGGAACCACAACATTTCCTTTTGGCCTATGGGTGCTTCCCAATGGGACAAATGGCAACCTCGGCTTTTCACAGCGAATCCCAAGTTCTGACTTGGGATCGTTATAAATTTCTCCCTCGCTCCGTTTCTCAAGGAAATCTGACAGTTGTGCGGTCACAAGATCGCACACTGCTCTGCCTCTTCGGATGCAGAACATTAAGGGATTAGCGTGGAGCACCAAATCCTTAGGAAGTCATCTTTGCTTGATCTTTGCACTGATTTGTCAGGCTTTTTGTTTGATTTTCTGTGTATTAGAGAAAACAAAACAAAACAAAACAAAAAAAACGGTCTTTGATCATCCCAAACTAAACTTACACTGAAAAGCTGGCATTTTAGGGATGAAAGGGAGTGAGAGGGGAAAAAAGCCAAAGGCAGCAGCTCTGAAGTTAGCGTTGCACAATTTCTAGTCTTTTTAGGATTACCAATTTAGAAAAATGCACAATGTTGAGAATGCGTGTGGACAGTCAAAGATAAAACAGATCATCAACACAAACTGTTCTTTTGCGGATGCATAGCTATGTGCAAAAGGAATTTAAGTTCAAGCACATTACAAAAGTATTCACACCCCTTGACTTCTTCACAATTATCACATTACAATGGAGGGTTTCAATGGAGCAAACCAACACACTGTAGTTTATAACAGTAAAGTAGAAAGAAAAGGACACATAGGTGTCACTTTTCTTTTTCTAAATGCATTTTAAATTGAGATGTTTCAAGCTTAGGTTTTTTTTAATACAGTCAGAGTACAAACATACCATGTTGACAAAAACTAACACTTAAAGCGAAATGGGTGTCAATAGAGACAGAGACAGAGTTACAATAGACAGGTTTCAATCAAAACATACTCAGCTGAATAAATGGCCCAGTCAAATCCAAGTGAGAAAAAATTGAGATGAGAAAATACTTTTGCAAGGCACTGCAATTCCATTTTTTCTGCCAACAAGATATTATTCAGTCTTTCCTGATTCCAGAAGAAAACCAACATCAAAGTCAGCTGCACATCAAGACAGGTGGCTATTAAGCCTGAAAGCACGATCCCCATCCCATCCCCAGCCATTTCCAATTAAGACTCCGATGACATTGTACTTAAAGAGAGCAAGGGAGAAAAGAGCTGCGAGAGATTCTCTCTCATGTAGAGGTTCAGGGTCACATACCAGCAACATTGCCACAGAAAAAGACTTCTTGGCATCATGCACCATAAGCTGAATTTAAAGCAAGACTCAAAGAGGCAATTGTGGAAATAAAAAAAAGAGAGAAATTTTAAACAAAGGTTCCACAAGGATCTCTTTTCACTTCGGTATATATTTATCCACAGAAACAATGCAGGATTCCATAATTGCCAGTTAGAGCAAAATTAAATACGAAATCCTAAAAATACTCACAATGCTCATGTACAATGCAGTTTTTCTTTAGGCATACACTGCAAATTATGATTTTATTTCATTCCGATTCTTTATTCAGGACTACAACACAATAAAGGTAAAAAAAAAAATGCACAGGAGGTCTTTGTTGTACAATTTCTACTCTTTTTAGGACGACCAATTTAGAAAAATGCAGATAAGGATTGCGCAAGGTTTTATCCTTACCTGCATCAAAAACATACCATCTTTTATCTTAATTTCACTTAACTCAAAACAGATGCATGCTGCTGATGCATTTAAAGAATGAAATGGTGGGAATTCTAAGTCATGATAAAAAAAACTCTGATTTTTCAGTATGAATTTGCATCCCCATTATTACAGTAAATTATTAGAAAATTGTCTAATTCTAATAGCTGGATGACTAACTGCTGCATTCCCAGACTGAACGCTTGTACTCATCTGAAAGGTATTTGTAGGTTAAACATTTGAAATGTGCATCAACAGGGCAGGAACCAGCTGAACTTCCATGGATTAGAACCGATGGACATGCATCTTAATACATGCATTAGCATGTATTAAGTGAGTGTGATTGGTTCTGGAAACTCTTTGATGCATAAATGGGGATTTTTATGAAATTCCTTCAATGGTCTGTTAGATGCAAAGCCATCTCGATTAAATAACATAACACAAATGTTTTTCTTTTATTTTGGGTTGTTCAAACGTCTACCAGGGTTTAACTATTCAGTTAAGACAAGGACATTTTTCCAACATCTTAAAAATATTTACACTTCTGCTAAGTGTGAGACATAAAAAAGCAAAGCAGCCAGCTCTGTTGTTGGGTCAAAACATTCCCAAAAATTATAGGTGACTCGTCTAAGGTCTTTGCATTATTTTCTACAGATACTCAACTATTTAGTTACTAAACAGAAGATGAGACATATGGTGAAGGCTCAGGTGGAGGTTCGCCTTAAGGGCACCAACTCACAGTATAATCAAGGTCTCTGCAAAATTACAGGCTAAAACCACAACTAAACACAGTTCAATCAAGGGCTAGCAAAGAGTTCACCCATTATGCTAAAATTCTCAAATCACAGAGCAAATTCCGACGTAAGACGTCAACACAAGATAGTGGAGGGAGGCTCTACTGACTCAGGCCATTCTAAGTGCCTCTATAGAAAAAAAAGGTCCTTTGTTTACAGATATGAAAAAAAAAAAAAGCTTTCAGGAGAGAAATAATGACAACTTGCAGTCAACTCGATGCATTTTTGAGATGTGTAGCTTAAATAGAAATGTGCAGCGGATGAGAACAAAAGGTGAGGATGATGGTTCTTGCAGATGTTTCTGGAAAATGATTGATTATTCTAAGACAGCTGCGTGTAGGAGCATGTCGTCCAGCTACCTTATGTTTGTATTACAAAACAGTTGGAGGTCAACAAATATCCGTCTACGGCTGACAAAAGTTGATAAGATCACAAAAGATTTCCTCAAAGTTGCCACTTTCAGAAGATGTCTACAGCCTGTAAGAAACCTTAACGTTGGGTAGCAATATGAAAGCAACCGACCTGGTTAATGGAATTGGCAGCACAGGATGCCAGGCCTGTTCCCAGAGAAGACACGAAAAACAAGACGGGATCAAAAGGAACGGGAGCCATTGCAAAACCGGCTGCTGCAGTTGTTGCCACCAGAGCTGAAAACAGACAAAACAAGAAATACCCCCCCAGTTAAAAATCACTTAATAATAATTCCTTAGTTTAATTAATTTATGTGCTAGTAGTATACTCGTAATCATTTATTTCTCTCCATTTTGTTTTCCGACACTAAATAAAGACTTTCATCCATAAAGGCTATGCAGAAATATCAGTGTGCCACAGATTTAATGAGAAAAACCACCAGACGTAACAATGCATTTTTCATACCTGCAACCTTTACTGTGCATTTAGCAAATGGCTGCCTCATTTGCTAAATGGGGCAGCCATACTGAATGTTAAAATTAGGTTTGCTTGGAAAACTGGAAACTTTTCCAGATGGAAGGCTTGATTTGTTAGACAGTGTTGGAAACTTTACTATGATAATTATTAACTGGTAAAAGTGTGATCAATAATCTAATATGTAAACTGTGCACAGTGGTTATATTTCAGGTTGAAATCTCCCAACATATTCAACTCTATCTTATCTTCATCATTTGGCAGTGCAAAACGGGAGTGACATTTTAGACTGCAAAATCAGTTTGTTAGATATGTAGAAAAACTACATAATCCATAGATTAAGTATCCAGTAGAAGTTCTGATGGGAACAGTGTGGGTTGAACATACAGTTTCTTAATTGACATACTCAGCCAGTTAATTTTGCATATTTATTTGGTTAGCACGGATAACAACACACTTTCTATAATGAAAACATTATATCGACACATTATAGCATTTCTAAAACTGTATATCTTGATACCAACAGCAGACCCATGCTTACTTCTGCCAAGTATAACTTGAGAAGCAAAAAAAAATAAAATAAATAAGCTATCCAAGCTGTTTCAGTCTAACAAACAACTACAGTTCACTGTCTTTAATGGTCACAGTGCAGAGCCCAGAGAAAAACAACCATTTTTATATTATACTAGCATATGATATTTTTTGAGGTTGTGAAAATGCAACCAATTGAAACTCCAGTATACGTTGATAGCAGTAAACAGTCATTACATGAGAAAAGTAAAGATTTTGTCAATCATACAGCTTTTTGATTAATTATAAAACAGCCAATAAGACTCAATGAAACCAGAGATGTATATATATGTATATATCAACACGGTGATGTTTAAGGTACTCTACCTGTAAGTTTGATTTTAGCAAGTCTAGCGTAGACATCTGGTAGGTCACTCGCATCGACTTTCAGCGGCTTCCACTGTCTGTCGAGACGGGCCTGCTTCGCCTCCTCCGTCTCCACTTGAACGTGCGGAGGCTCGTCTGTGGTTGCAGCAAAATGGGACGCAGAACCTTTTGGAGTTGTCGCACTTTGCGTAGCAGGCTTTGCAGCGAAGTTTTCAGGTTGTGTTTCACGCGTTACATCCTCCGACAGTGGGGCGACTGCTGCGAGCTCAGCATTAATCGCCGGTATTCTCTCCACCTGTCTTTCAACGCTGGCATCTCTTTCATCGACAACTGTCGGGTTGTGCTTGGGGACCGCGTGCTGCTGAAGTCCACTGCTGGTTTTGGTAACATACTATGAAAACAAAGTGAGGAGCAAAAAGGGACTAAATGGTTTACAGATTTATTGTTGGGTTGATCAATTTTGGCACAACACATTGGGTTAGAAATAGGGTTGGTAATGCCCAATGAGGATACCTGTCGTTTCAGAAAGTTAAGATGCTGATACGTCAGCGAGTTTGAGGGATTTCTTTTGTGGAGGTAAATAAGACTTCGAGCAGTCTGGTCACATCGAGGAGCAATTTGAACCAATCGCTGTTTTATTCTTACACCTAGAAAACCTGCAGGAACAAAAGAAACACAATTAATCCCTTAACACAGTACTAAGCCCTGACAGGAAATATTCCCAAAACACACTTGTTTCATTATGTTCTCCATTGAACTGACAGGCATATTTTTGTTAAGTGAGGAATGTTTTGAACCTCTTCTGACAATTAAAATAATTCTTAGATTATCTACTGATAGTCTAATGCAGTGGTTCCCAAACTTTTTCTCCTGGACCCCCCCTGTAGTTTCTAAACATTCTCTGGGCTCCCCTTGTGGATTACCAAAATGGAGAGGCTACCTGGTTGAATGATGTGTGTGAGTGGTGGGGGGAGTGGGGAGTGATCGACTTATTTTGGGGGCAAAATGAATTGAAGCAGCTGAACATAGACAACATTGTCAGTAGCCTAGAGGACACTTGTTAAGCTTAAGGTGCTGTGTTGATATTAGCTAGTCATCATTTAGCTAACATTACCTGCATCCCAGCGCCCCCAGTGCCTCAAGGAAGGGGGCGCTCATGATCCCAGACATTAAGACAGTAACAGCGAGCTAGCAGCTAGCCATGCAGTAAAGTCAAGTGCAGCGATACATTTATAGTTTTCTCCTCTTACCACAGCAATCACTAATTAATAATCCCAAAATAATCAGTAAGCCTAAAACCATACTACTGCAACAGACTGAATGTTCTGCTCTTTGTGTGGGAAATATGAGTGTTTATTTTTTGTGGCGTTATTGTCAGTTGCTATGGCAACGAGTGTGCTTGTAGCCGCGCTGATACAGCAAGAGAGACGTGGTTTTGAGTTGTTCTTTAACGATTTTTCCCTTTGCTGTGGAGCACAGCACGAAATTAATGATATCTACGTCCAAGTTTGATTGCGTTAACGGAATTATTCTACGGCGGCAGCGTGGCTATGGATGGCATGTAAAGGAATAGCCTTTTTGCCCTCCAGCATTGTCCGCATGCGCAAAATTTTCTTATGTAAACATGTAAACATTTCTTATGTAAACTTGCATGGGGTCTAGATTTGTAAATCTGATGACGATTAAGTCAGTGCCTCACCAGCTATGAATCTCACCGCACGTCACTGCTGCATCCAACAGCTTTACTCAACTCGGTCAGTTAGTTTGGAGGAAAAACTGAAAAGTTCTTTGCGTTTTTGCTGGTTTGCTGCCATGATTCTAACACACCCCTGAGTGCAGCAGCAGCAGCAGCAGCAGCAGGTCTCCGTCGCTGCCACACAGGTGTAAACCCAGTGCGAGCGTCGTAGCGCTGATGTTGTGTTTAAAGGCAGCTCGGAAAAACAGCTTACAACGTGATAACAATGGCTTATACCGTTTTAACTCCCCCCTAGGGTCGCGCCCCACAACCTCTGGTCTAATGTAAGAAAGTACGGTTATATGACACCAATACTGCAAGAGGTCTCTTAGAAGTTTTGTTGGTTTGATCAGAAGTCATAATTAGTCATATTTCATAAGAGTCAACTGGCCTAAATAGGCATAAGAAACAAGATAAATAGAATATGTTGAGAACATTTTAGGAAGCTTTAATTAAGTAAAATAAGTTGCATGTAAGATAAAATCAACTTGATTCAATTAATCTCCATTTCTTATAAAAAAAAAATACCACTAAGAAAAACAGACTCTGGCTGTATCACTCTTCTTCCTATTGGCAGTCACATTTTGGCATTTTTCCCTTCCTACTTCCATTTCATACAGACCTTTCAAAAGCCATATATTTACATTTATTTCTCTAGGTATTTTGGTATTTCTTTTATTTTTCGAGATTTATTATGTAGGTAATAATGGAAATACTTGAGTCCCAGGAAGAACACAGTTAAACTCTATATATAACTCTTTAATATCACACCCTACTTTCGTAATGGTTCTAATGTCATTAAATCCAGCTATCTCTCCTGAAATATGATAGATTATGGCACCTACCCATCCCTAAAATAACTCCTGGCATCCTGGTAGATAACAGGTCCTGGACGAAATTAAACACATTCCCTTACAGAAAAAGAATAAGCAGGTTTTAGAATTAATTATTTGAAATCCTCAACACCAAAATTGGACACAAAATTTCTCAAAGGTGGGCAAAATGCCCCAAAGTCCACTCCGGAAGCCGGATATGAAACAACCAATGTACTAATATGGTAAAATGGAGAAATGACCAAAACACAGTAAAATAACATACATTAAGTGACATGCTTGAATTGACTTGCAATGTGATTACACATCTAGAAAAATAATTGTTACAAAAGTAGACATTCGAAGTCTTTCAATCATTTCATATTATTTGAAGTGGTTTTAATTTCAAATGAAATAGGCACAGCAAACTTTTAATACAATTAAACCATACATATTAATTTCCCTGAGAGTTCGTATAGCACCCTATTTCCATATCTTATCCCCTGTTTGGACCACCCCAGACTTATGAAATATGATAGACTTTGATGACAGGTAATCAAACTAAAAATATCTCAAAGAAACCTCCTGTTGCTAGATACAATTTCTAGTAGCCATATTGGGAAATTATTGTATGATGGACTATGAGTATATGGTACAATTTAATTTTAGTCGTAGAAATTAATTAAACGAATTAATTGTCGGTCACAAAGATCAAATGTCCAAAACGCCCAAATTAGGCAGACACTAGATATAACTCAAATATTATGAGTTTTACATTTTGTGATATCAGGAAGAGTAAATCAAGGCTTAATAAGCATATTTCTGTTAATCTACTAGGAGTTTATGAGTACGGGGATAGATTTCCAGTTCGTTATTCTGTGCAGCTTCTATCACTTGCTATGGTATGTTTGTTGTTGTCTCCCAGCCACGTCTTATAGCTAATAGAAGCATGCATCCTTGTGTTATTTCTGCAACTATTTCGATATTCAACAGTATCATTTAAAGCAGAATGGTGGTCTTTAGCGAAAGCTATGTTTTTGCATAGAAACCGATAATAGACAGCCGGACAAAGTCACTTGTAGACTCCTTTATAAGCTAACTCTCAACCAGTAAGCTACATGCTGAACTAGCTTCTGCATTAGCTTTCGGGCTACTAACAGCGTGCAAGACAAAAATGTGTCTGTAAAGGTAAACAGCTGGCTAACGGAATATTACATTTTTCTCCTGCCCTTACCTGTCAGTCTGCTGCATGGCGTTTTATACATGTCTTAGGATCATAAAGCTGCCTTCAGGTTCGACCCTTTCACAGGCAGTGAGCCGCCATTTTGACCTCGTTACGTAAGTAGAAGCACTTCCGGGATGCAAATGAGTGACGACGGCAAAACGAAAGAGAAGAGACAAATGTGTTTTCTCACTGAAATCTATCTGTATACCACGTTCAGTGACCAAACCCGCTAGGCTTTTAAACGGCATCTCGTGTTTCAGGACTAGAAGAAAAACTTGCGCCCAACGTGGGGCTCGAACCCACGACCCTGAGATTAAGAGTCTCATGCTCTACCGACTGCGCCAAAGCTGGGGAACAATAGTCTGCTTGGGGGGGGGAAGAAAGGAAGGAAGGGGG